CGGTCGACGAAAACGATCCTCGGGAGGCAATCGGGTCTCTCGCAAAGTGGCTTATTTCGGTCGAGTGTCGCCGAGCCTTGGAGAACTTGTTGATAAATTTATCCCCTAATACAGTTTCCCGACCGATCCGGAGCGGGACGGATACAAGATTATCCCGTGGCTTAAAGCAGACTGCATAATTTGCGAGTGGTTAAGTCGGCATTACTGCGAGCCGGCACTCGTTACGGCGTTGCGTATCACTTGAATTAGTATAATCCTCGGTAATCCCATAGCCTCAATTGTAATGCGATAATTGTACCAGGAGCTCTCAACTTATGCGCCTACTGGACACCCTCGAGTCTTCGCCTTCGCACCCTTGGATAGTCGTCTGCACGGAAAGGCCTTCCTCTAAATGTCGTCGCCGAATCTCGGAAACAGCTTGTCTGGAAGAAAAAGACGAGCATTAGTTATCGTTTCCTCGTGCTTTCCGGTAATATTTAAAGAGCTCGTCAGGACAAAAACGCCCGTGCGACGCGGCAATCTTATCGCGGCTATCGTGCTCTACATAGCGTAATTTAATAATCCTATAAATCCCGGCATGCTAGTCCCGGGCCGAGGTATTTATTTAAATAATCGGAGAAGGAAAACCCGACGGGGTGGATACCCGGGGTGAGGGCAGAGCTTTATAAATGTAATCCAGTTAGCTCGCGAGCGAAAGTGGTCGATAAACCAGCCACGCGAAACCGCCGCTCTCACGGCATCGGCTCTAGCCTCGCACTTCGCCCAACCCTTTCCTACGCCACACATCGTACACGCCACCGATTCTTTTTCGCTTTGCGAAATCGCGGGTTAAGCTCCGTTTAAATACCCCATTAGATCGGTTCTTCCCAAGGCGAGCAATTCCATCGAGAGCGCCGAGCTTTCGCGCGTCGAGTTCGAGCATAGAGGAAAGTTGCCTAATTCGGACCGCCTCCTAAATTGGACAATTGTTCAAGAATTTACAACACTAGTACTACGATCGATGTGCAAACGTTTCAAAAGAATCGAAACGCTCCGCTTAGGAGTAATCGTTCTCTGGAAATGTCGTGCTCCAATTTCGGAGACCGGTTTCCCAAAATGGACTCTTCTCGGCGTTAACGTTTTTCAATGATTTTCACCATTTTCATCGAATCTCACGCTAGGATGTATTTAATATGTTAATTAAATTAGACGTTACAACTTTCCACGGTGTACTCGACGAGAATCGATCATTTAAATATGGAGAACAGATTTTTAGATAAGCGGTCCAATTTAGGCAACCCTATAACTTCCGTTTGACGACCTTCGCGGATGGGAGTCTTCGGGGTGTCTTCCAAGCGATTAGTTATTTATACCGGTAATAATTTAATAGCGCATCCGGGCTCCAAGTTTCGCCTTGGATGAGCTTTACCAAGATTGACTGCTGACTCGGTATTCGGTAACCCTCTCCGTAAATAAGGGACTTAACGTTGACGTGAAGTAACGAGTTATGAGAGATCCAAGTGCCTCGGTGGTGCTTTCATAAGCATTTCAATGGGGAGCTTTTTCCAGATTATGTTTGCATACTTCTTGTTAACGACGTATTTACCAAGTAACAATGATCTCGAGGACGCGCGAGCTGGCCGGGTGAAAAGTTGGAAACTAACCGGGGAGGCTCGTTTCGAACATTCGAGCACCGACCTACGGTGGATCTCGCGTTGCCCAAACCGACCAAGTGGGTGGCGTTTCCACCAAGTGGATTCGTTTCGCTCGAGCAGAGGAAAACAAAAAAGAAAAGAAAGAAAAAAACGCGATTCGGGAACCATCGATCACTGAACAGAACTCATGGAACGCGCATGGCCGTAAGTTCCAATCATGAAGATAGTATAAGGAGATACATTACATGCTCTATATCATGCGTGGATAATTTTTCCTTTACGCACCTTAATTACACAATTAAAAGCATTTTAGGTCATTTACGTCGGTAGGAAGTGTTTTGATCACGTCATACTGGAGTTCCCTCATTTTCCGCTAGTAGCGCTCGCATCGTCAGATCATTGAATTTCTGAGGTCCTGGTACCCGATTCTGGCATTATGTCTCCTTATACTACTTCATGCGTATAGTTTAGTGATCTAGAGACTGAGCGGAACCAACGGCGAGGGTCTTCCGCAAATAAATCTCAAACAAGTCGCAAATAAATCGCAAATAAAACGCAAACGACGGCGCACCTCGCGACCCGTTCCCAAAACCAGGCACGGAGGGATGGCTGCATAATTAGAGTTGACACGCCCTCTATCACCGGTACCCATCCTAGTGACATCTCAACTGCCGTATTTGACTATCGATTGCGGGTAACCCTCCATCTCTGCCTCCCTCTTTATCCCCGTCTCTCTCAAGGCCTCTCTTTATCTCCGTCCCTCCGGCGAGCGCTCGCATCCACTTCCACCCCCGCGTCCGTCGGGGTCCCTCTCGGTGGCACGCAATTTCCCAGTGGCTCCTGTACTCTCCTCCGTCCCTTGCCCCAGGATTCGTATGTACATGCCGTGGACTCACTAGCGCAACCCTCGGCCTGTGCGTGGCTGCATTATACACCAGCGGTTTGCCGGAGCACGTAGTCAAATACTCTACGGGTGAACCCGAGTACGAAAGCCTCCTCATCGGTCTCTTACTTCGGGCCCGCGATTCGGCAAACCTAACGGAAGACGTCGTCGAGTCAACCGGGACGACCCTAGCCTCGGTATCTCCAGTTCTCCTCGGTTTCTGCCAAGTCAAGGGCGTATCGAATACTTACCCCGCCCCGATGGATTAAGAAACGGGGACGGGGTAAATCCAATCGCGAGAAATCTGCAGATTTTTTGCACCGCTTTCCGCGGAATCCCTACGGTCGGATTTTCCACGCACTCCGCGGAGAGATTTAGTATGCCGTCCTAGCAGTCGTTCCGTTAAGTTCGTTCGATCAAGGCCGGCTTCGAGGCTGCGTAAGTTCCGACTGAAATTCGATTCGACTCCCTCGAGGGAGTAAGACCGAGGGTGGGACGCAGAGGCAGGTATCCCACGGTGGATGGGAGCGAGAGAGAGGCCGACAGACCGGGAGCTCCTCCGTGAACCTTCCCGGCTCGACGTTGATGTATCGCAGGTGAGATACGGGGCCCAGAATTCGAGGCAACTCGTACGGTTCCTGCACCTATTAACGCAAATTGACAATAAGAAACATCGAGCTTTCGAGGCTGCCGGGTTAATTAATGACCTTATTGAGGCACCCTCTACGGGGGTATGTTTGGTTTCGCGTTAAAAGAATCCTCGACAACTCGCGGTAAGCCGAGTCAATTCGGCCCTATCGGCTTTATCGTGATACTCGAAAAGTAAGGAAAGGACGGCCGAAATAAATGAAATTAATGAAATTAATGAAACCGCGGAGGGAAGCCTTGGCGAGCTTAGGGCAGATCGAATATTCATACTTTACCCGCGTTCCGATGGTCCGATCGCTCCCTTTTCGGCCTGTTTATTGCATTTTTCCTCGGAGACTCGGGTTTAAGGAGGGGCCGCGTACGCGCAAGGAATACCGACCCTTTGATTTTTTTCTTCCCTCCGATATCGGGAAGGCCTTCCTCTTCTTCCTCTTCGTCAGCGAGGGCGGCCCGCGAGCCGCATACGCGAATTCCAAATTTCGAACAGCCGCCGTGTGTGCTCAACGCTTCCCGGGGAAATCACGGGAAGCTCCGTGGAAGCGAAATCCGCATCCGGAATTCTGGGGAGAGAAAAAAGGAAAGAATGAAGAGGGGAAAAAAAAAGGGAAGCCTAAAGCCTCGTTCGCAAACGCGACAGTACTTCGTCATACCGCGCACGATTCCTCCGGGCAGACATCCTGAACGGCGCTGCCTTGCAATTTACAATGTTTACATCAAGCTGGGATTTACTTATACAAATGGTTAATCCCTCGATATTGCGCCAAGTCTTCCCAGCTGCGGTACTTTCGGAAGGATCTGGAACACGGGAATGGTCGATAATTCGCGCGGGCCAAGAACTCCGTAAGGGAAGAAAAAACCTGCCGTGATGCATCATTGCGTCGTGATGGAAGTAATCTTAGCATCGGCGGTCCAGGGGAGGAAGAAAAGCCGATAAATAAGAGGGCCGCGTAAAAACGAAGGGAAGGTCTTGCGGAAACACCTGCGCCACCGATGGAGGGCATTTGATGACACGGGGAGAGCTCTCTGGATTTTCCCGCTGTCGTTGGGGTCTTGTTCCACATCTATAAAAGAAAATTGTCAGACCTGTGGCGAATTGAATCGAGGACAAACTACTCCGATTGGCGTCACCCTCGCCGAGTTTACTTCCGGCACGACCGAAGCCAGCCACTGATGAGCAAAATCGGTCTTGGCCTTGGTCTTGCACTTTTTGCCTTTCCACCTCGAATATCAATCAGACCAAGACCAGAATACAAAACCCGAAAGAAATGTTACTTAACTGAAGAAACCTCGAGTATATAAATAGAAAAATTAATTTTCTCATAATTTCTCGATATTCTCGATAACTTACGGTATGTTTCATAGTAACCTTGTCGGATTTTATGTTACTGAGAATTTTTGAACTCTACGCTCTCTGCGCTCGTTCGGGCCCTGGCGGAATTTAGTGGAACTATCTGGTAGGTCCACCCGGCCAGTACTCCAACGGTTACGGAATTTCCATGCTTGCCAACTGACAATAAAGTCGAAATCTGAAAAATGCTTTTTAACCGGATACCCGATCTTCTGGGAAAAATATGCATTTTATCTTGAATATCGGCCGGCAATTTACCCACTGCAGATGCGTCCTATACTTAATAATGATACTTAATAATTGGTGCACCCAACCGTCCAAGGTTCTGGCTCCGCGAATTATCGTAGCTGCTGACAGTTGGAAACCAGTTGAAATATGCGGTCGAACTGGAGGCTCTTAATCACAAATAAAAGCTTAAAAGCAAATACCAACAAGCTAAAAATAAGTTGAGGGAGAGGAGCAATCCGGAAGTAAAAGGACTCAGACATTTTCGTGAAAAATTTCTTATAAATTTAATATTAGTGTAATATCGGACCTCTTATCGGCGTGCACTGGGCACAACGTGACTATCCAAATTAAATAAAATTCAGTTCCACTAATTGTACAATTCGTATAATATACATACTCTATATAAAAAACACGGTCGTGCGAAAAAAGTCTGTATATCCGGCATTGTGCTTTGTCACCTGAAAGACGAAAATCTTCCGTTTAGTCCTCGATATCGGTTAACCAAAGTTAAAAAACGCATAAACTGGTTCCACTGGGAGGGAATGCTCGGCTCGGTGTATCCAAGTATCCCAATGAAATGAATTTCCATTCTTAAGGCGATGTGAAAGTGACAAGAGCGATCGACCATAATTAGCTACTAAATGCTTCATAAATTCTGTACCGTACAAATTTTTTAATACACTGTAACTATGTAGACATATCTACAAATCCAATTGTAAATCCTCACATCGCCCTAACCGAGACTAGACATACATGTCAAAACTTCGATAGGTACACGAGTCTCTTTTCCTGCAGGCGTACGCCATAACGTAGCGGAGAATATACGTATAACATACTACTTTTGAATTAATTGTTTATTAAAAAAAAAAAGATTCACATTAGTAACTTATCATTAAAAATGCCTTACTCGTTATTAAATATTCGAGGGGCTGGTTCTCCGGGAGAGGGTTCTCCCGGGGGTTGCTCCGGTTCGCGAAGGCAGGTTTGTATCGTTTATGCGATTGTAAAAAGTATTCATATTCAATACCGTAGGTCCACCCTAAACAGAAACGTTCCTTGCGAACCTCTGAACCTGGAGTCGTCGACTCCCAACAATGGAAGTCGGCTAGAGCAACGTCTTACGGTATGTCTCGGGGAAACGAGGGCCGATTCGAGTCAACAGGGCAATCGTAGATTCGTTCATGATTTATAAACAAAATATAAAACAAGAGTAGAAACGAGGAAAAACGAATATCCGTAAATACGTGCGTCTTGAGGTAGATATGGCACAATCTTAATGCACGGCGATATACTTTCTCAAGGCGAATTTCCCCGACTCGGTTGTCTGTGTTATTTGCGTTGCGATTTGCCCAAGCGAAAAAGAAGCATGCGAACAGTCCGCCCGGAGTGTGCATGTTATTCGATCGTTTCTTTATAATTTAATTTGGATTTACCCACGCGTTTCACCGCCACTTCGTTACCGTACTTGTACGCCACTCTGAGATGACGGGTCCCGTTACAGGAACTTGTTGCGACTCTTTAATGAACTCCTATACGGCCGCAACCAACGAGCGATATACTGGAATCGACTTTTGACTGTCTCTGCCACTACTTATCGATCGCTTAATATGTCTTTACGTGTATTGAATATTCAAACTTACAATGTAGGGCGTGACAAGCCAATTCTTTCACGATTAGAGGAGGGCTCATGGAAGCCTCCTACAAGATGACGCACCTTCTTCTTCTGACTGGTTCCGGAGGCTCTAGCGCTGCGAGTATTGCTTCGTCGAACACGTTCTTTAGCCCTTTCTATAAAATTCAATGTACTCAAGATTCTCCATAATGAGAAATGGTCATGCCAAAGCTTAGCTAATGCAAGAAAAATGCCAAATTTTGTACACAGATTAATTCTCGTACCGATGAAACAATAATTTACCTGTGTGAGGGCACTGCATTCGACATACTTGACTGCCTTTAGTTCTTTTGCGAGTTTTTCACCTTGTTCCCCTGTAATCGGTTTCTGCTTATTCTTCGCAAGCTTTTCGATAGTTGCTGCATCGTCCCGCAAGTCAATTTGCGTGCCGACCAACAAAAATGGTGTTTTCTGACAGTGATGCGTTATTTCAGGCACCCACTGAAAATAAATTACGCGTTTGCTCTTTACACATGTTTATTGAGAGAAATACCAGAAACCTGTCTATTTGAAATGGAACTTACGTGTACTTTTTTTACTAAAATATCTCGGTATAAGTGTCACTCACCTTTTCTTTAACATTTTCAAAAGATGATGGAGATACAACCGAGAAGCAAACAAGGAATACATCCGTCTGTGGGTAACTTAAAGGCCGCAGTCGGTCGTAATCCTCCTGACCTGGAAAACATTGCACGATTCTATCAAATCAAAAACACTTACTAACATCGTAGTTAAAAATAAACAAGCCTGGTTCTTCATCAACTTCTAAACCACTTATAAATATTAAAGCGCTGGTCACATACTTCCAACACGAAAAAATTTTTAAATTTCATCTTTGCTACAGGTTTGCTTGCACCCTTTCAAATTTACCTGCTGTGTCAAATAGTCCTAAGGTATAAGGTTCGCCACCAATCATGACGGTGACGGCATAGTTGTCGAAGACCGTAGGCACGTACTCCGATGGGAATTTATTAGTAGTATATGATATCAACAGGCAAGTTTTACCCACGGCTCCATCGCCTACCACAACACACTTTATCGTCTGCATTTTGATTGTTGCCTCTGTTATCTATGAAGAAAGACAAAAAATTTAAATTGTCATTACTTACACGTGAAAAACAGACGGATCAATTTGTTAATAGCAAATTCCCTGAAGCTCTGTTAATACTTCATTGAAATCAATTCCTGTCCATTTCAACCGAACGTAAATTCTCGATGTAAGAATTAGAGTACGCCCCGTTGCATGCAAACTTACGCACCGTTAATTAAAACGCAGTAAACAAAATTTGAAGCGTTAGCATAACAATTCTTTAGGCCATTGTACTGCCAATTTAATACAATCAATAATACAAATGGAACAATAGAAATGCCATGAGGACGACTCATCGCTGCGAAAGAAGTAGTACTCCAGGACCTACATTATCAGTGCTGTCATGCACAAGTAATTATGCTAAAGTTTCTACTGTTAATTCGAAGATCAGGACAGGACAATATTCGTAACAACGGGAGAAATATGCAAAGCATGGAAGGAAGCGTGCCCGATGAATCAAGATAATCCCCGAATGCCTAAAGGAGTACACATATGCAGACTGGAGAATTGTTTTTGGAGGAGCCATTTTGCCTACTGTGGTTAATGGGCTGCTCTTATCGGCAAAATGTCAGTTTTGCAAGTATTTAGTCGACACGCCGGCTTGGCTGGTTATAACGACGGATCGCGGTCGCTATTTCGGGATCGATAATTATTTAAGATATTAAATGACGATACTCACGAGTAACTGGGCGTCGACAACACTTCACTGACAGAAAATTCTTATCTCGGGGGAGAGTGGAAACTGTCCCGGATGCGGCTTCGTCGCCACTGTGGCACCATCTGGAGGAACTAGCCTAACGATTGGGCAAGGTCATTCAACAACCTGAGGTTGGATCGTCACACAGGGGAGAGGAAAAATTATAAACTGTATACACAAATATATATCGGAAATGAAATGAAAGATTTACTATTTTTCGCTGCTGTCCTCGCTTGAGACCTGTATGCTCTGTGGGGAATATATGTACACTTTTTACGCCCATGCAATGCGAACAAACCACTGTAACGATTCAATATCCTGCCGAGTTAGGTCATCTACTTACGGCTGCTTGAATATAGTTCGTGGTCAATACCGGAAACGAATATTCTCGAGGTAAGGTATCGTGCGACACCGCATGCCAATTGTCTTTTAACGACGTGCAGGTCTGTGCCGATGTTTAATTTGTCGAATAAAAAAAATATTGTACGAGGGAACTGCAGTTCACTAAAAAGTCTGATCACTTTCCAGATTGAACGAGAGTTTTGTTGGAAAGACATTCAGTGAACATTGTCCAAGCAGTAAATATGACTGCGCTTTCTGCAAGCGGTGATGGAAGACGCGCCCACGGGCAAGCTTATAAGGATAAAAGCAAACCAACGGATATTCGAACCAGTAATATCAATGCTGCGAAAGGTACATCTTTTATGTCACCATAGAGATTTATTTATTCTGTATGATGAAGTTAAGTATATACTCGATCGACATAAATGGCATAAATAACCTTTACACGAGGTAAACCAATGCCCATTTATGGTAGCGATGGGACCTACTAAAGATGTTTATTAAATATTCAATCAAAAACTCAATCATTTCAGCGGTCAGTGATGCTATTCGAACGAGTCTGGGTCCACGGGGAATGGATAAAATGGTACTTGATATTTATTTTTAATCGATTAATTGTTTAAACTCATTTAAAAAATGTCAACTTTATTGGGTATTCACAGATCCAAGCAAGCAATGGGGAAGTTACCATTACCAATGATGGTGCAACAATTCTGAAACAAATGAACGTCATTCATCCTGCTGCAAAGATGGTAAGTCCAAGAGAAACGTTTAGATTTATGAAATGGACTTGACATCAGCGACTTCATATTTAAATTTTTAGTTAGTCGAATTGTCAAAGGCGCAAGATGTTGCAGCTGGTGATGGAACTACTAGCGTAGTTGTGATCGCAGGAGCACTTTTAGAAGCTGCGGAACGATTACTGCAGAAAGGAATTCATCCGACTTCAATTAGCGAGTCCTTTCAAAAGGCTGCAACAAAAGCTGTTGAGATCTTAAATGACATGTCAATTCCTGTTGACTTGTCAGACAAAGAATCGCTTACTAATGCAGCAGCAACTGCTCTTAATTCCAAGGTAATTCTAATTTACAATATGTGATGATTGCAGTGTTATTATAATTTAAAGATCATTTAAAATCAAATTTGGGTTAAAAATTACAGGTAGTTTCACAACAGTCAAGTCTCCTTGCAACTTTAGCTGTGAAAGCAGTCTTGAAAGTTACCGAACCTGGCCACGAAGCTTCAGTGGATTTGAAAGTATGTTGCGATTTATTAATTGCATTTTGTATTGTTCTCATTTTTATTCAGATGATAAAATCATCTAATTATTTATATAATTTAGGATATCAAAGTTATTAAGAAATTGGGTGGAACCGTCGAAGACACAGAACTCATTGATGGATTAGTCTTTACTGAGAGATGTTGCAATGTTAACGGTCCAAAACGCATTGAAAAAGCAAAGATTGGATTAATCCAATTCTGCATTTCACCTCCAAAAACTGACGTAAGTAACCATCCATAATAAAATAACAAATTTCTTTAAAAACCATTGCAGAATTTTAGTGAATTTTGTAAAATGAAATTAATATGCTATCATTTTTAGATGGATCACAATGTCATTGTATCAGACTATGCAGCAATGGATCGTGTCTTAAAAGAAGAACGTGCATACATATTAAATATCATCAAGCAGATCAAGAAAGCGGGCTGCAATGTTCTGCTGGTGCAAAAGTCCATCCTTCGTGATGCCATCAGTGATTTGGCTATTCATTTCCTCGATAAGATCAAGGTCATGGTGATCAAAGATATAGAAAGGGAAGATATCCCTTATGTGTGCAAGACATTGAATTGCCGGCCAATTGCATCATTAGATCATTTTGTGGCAGAGAACCTTGTCTGTGCAGAGCTTTGTGAAGAAAGCCAAACTGGTACCTCAAAGTTCATAAAGGTAATTAGCAGATTGCTTATAATTATAGAATGAAATTTCTGAATAAACAATGTTGTTTTGTATCAGATTACCGGCATTCAAAATCCAGGACGCACAGTAGCTGTATTAGTACGTGGGAGTAACAAACTTGTCCTAGAGGAAGCAGAACGATCATTACATGATGCACTTTGTGTAATTAGATGTTTGGTCAAACAAAAGGCATTGATTGCTGGAGGAGGTGCTCCAGAAATTGAATTAGCTCTAAAGTTGGCAGCGTATGCCCAAACCTTGGGCGGCGTAGATGCTTACTGTGTGAGAGCTTTTGCCAATGCACTTGAAGTATGTTGATTTTGTGAACTACAATTGTTTTGTAATGCAGTAATTTATTTCTTCTGGACAAAAGTATGACATATTTTAATTTAAAATATTACAGAAATTAAATAAAACTAATTCCTTTTTTAGGTTATTCCTTCAACCCTGGCAGAAAACGCAGGCTTAAATCCAATTGCCACAGTGACCGAGCTTCGCAACAAACATGCCCAAGGTGAAAAAACAAGTGGCATAAATGTACGGAAAGGATCAGTCACTAACATTTTGGAAGAGAACGTGGTTCAGCCTCTTTTAGTATCCATGAGTGCTATAACATTGGCTTCTGAAACTGTGCGCAGCATATTGAAAATTGATGACATCGTTAATACGAATCAATAAATATTCAACAATTTTTGCATTGACCGTTTTTTCCTTTTTCATCAATTTGATACAGTGAGTAAATCATGTATAATGGTGAGATAATTGTTTCTATGTATCACTAAGATATATGCACACTATAATTTCGTAATAACCTTCGTTTAATTGTTACAGGTTTACCTAAGTATTTACTTAATAATTTGTGGAGGCTGAGCTTTTTACAATATATTTGGCAATTGTTATTAAGAAATGTCTTAAAGAGCCTCGCTGAAGCTCTTTGTTTTGTGAAGATTTGAGCAAAACAAAAAGCGCCATAATATAAAGGAACGAAATAGAATAAAATTTGTATTTCGCTTTCTGTATTCCATGCATTCATAATATTAAATAAAGAAATTTAACACAATGTATTTTTATTAAAACTCGCAATTTATTTTAATAAAATATCCATTTTCTTACAGTCATATAATCTCTTTGTATCTAAAGTCTACGCATCTTAAAGTATATAAATGCACTACACTTTCATGATTATAATTTAATACAACAAAGGTGTAACCTCAAACTTTCATAACCAAAATACGCAAAAGGCAAAAGACAGTTGTAGACATAAAACCATAAAGTACAAAACCCAAATGTTATTTTAACGAATATATAATATCAACATTAATAAATAACCCCAATTTACGTAACACAAATACAACCATGCTCCTTTTATCAAAATAATAAAAAAACCTGCTCAACGCACAAGAGCCAGTATTAAATTATGAGTAACTTCTTATGAATATTCAATGAAAGTCAATGAATTAACTAAGAAGGGTAATCAATCACAATGAAGTGTAATCATATTGCCCTGTCACGACCGTACCAATTATAATTGTCAAATGATAAATTTCTAAAGGATTGCCAAAGTATTGCAAGCAGTTAAAACTGAACATCGATTGTCTCCTATTATTATAGTACTTAATATTATGTAATACATACAAAAAGATCTGTGACGGGCATAGGTTCCCCGATACAAAATACATCTCCAATAAATTATTCACCGGCATTTAATTAATAAACAGATAACTGCATTTTGTATTGCGAGAAGGTCGCTTTCAGTTACGATCCCTTAAGTACATTCAAAAGTAGTCAGTCGTCAAAATTGAATCGTTCAAGTAGTTTTACAAGGTGTTTAGTTTCCAGATTTGTGCAAAGCTCTTAAGGAAAAATATTTTTCCTTTCTGGAACTGGAACTCCTTATATTTATATATTTAACTAACTTTTCACCGTTACAAAAAGTCTTAAAGATAAAGAAGTAAATTTTACTTCTCCAAAAAAAATCTCATCATCGGATCGGCATACGAGGAATGTTAAATTATCAGTTCATCAGTTATATTCGCATTTGCGAATTTCTAGGTTAACTGTACGTTACTTTAGTAGAAAATTCTGTTCGTGCAAATGTCAACATCATATTGGCAGCAGATATTTTGCAAATCTTATTTGCAATACGTTCGCAAAACGTTATGTTTACACCGCACCCGAGAACCGTGTGCGGGATTAAATTCCCATACGACTGGCGACTAAGTTTACATTGCAGTCGTAACTATCGTACCACACTTTCGTTTTGATCCAACAAAAGCATTTAGTATAACTGCCATATACGTAATATACACACCATTGTATAATCAGCAGTGGCATGAAACGTATAAAATTTATTGTGATATGTACTAAATAAGACTTTTGTCGAATTGAAATATAACCTTCCATTACTCAAACCACACTTGGATCGTATAAATGGAAGTCATTTGGAGTGAATCAAGGAACTTATGGTTATCTATTCACCACTGAGGATGTATCTGATGGAATGTCCATTGCTGATAAGTGTTGTTAATATCACAAGGCATTAATGACAATTGTTGCGTTTGAGGATGTAGTGCCATGCACTTCTTATAAACTCTGTGCAAAAGGGTCCTCATTTTCTAAAATACAAAAGTATGCAATTTTGTAATTAAACGATGCAATATATGTGCGTGCAAAATGTATTTCTTTAATTTGTTTAAATTAGTATCTTACTTCGTCATACTGCCAAGGCCCATCTACCGTACCCAAACGACAGTAAGCATATTTCACTCCTTGAGTATCGGCTTCGATGCATCGTTCACCCACTCCCAGCTGACCTTTTGCATTCAGTCTAATCAACTAAAATCATTTTTTATTTGATTAGAAGACGCCGATAAAACTCATCCATCTAATTAAAACATCTAAAAACCTAACTAACCTGGTTATTACCAAAACCATGGCAGTGCGATGTAGCCATTAAACTAGGAGGACTATGTCCCATGGTATCCAAACATGCAGAAGTTGCTACACTTCGCAACTAAAATACAAACATTATACATAATATGAGTTTTATCACACCGAGTCAATGTCAATTAACAACAATTTTACCAAGAGAGAAGGAAACAAAGTATGAATTTAAAACGCAACAGTCTTTTTCAAAAATGGTTTAATCACCTCTCCCCAATGAATATTCGGCGGCAATTCAGGGAATTTATCAAGGACGTCATAAGCGATGTTGTCCATGTACCACTGAAAGCTTTTACACTTCATACGGTCCTTGAACGCTAATTGCTCCGAGATATCGCCGTGATCCAATAATCGTGCCAGTGGTTCTCTGGTATAGAAAAACTCCTTGTACCTTTCGTCAAACCACGTTTCGATAACTCTTTTATAATTCTGTCAGATAAATGCAGAACAACCATGAGAAAGTCATTCCCTACTCCTAAGGATTTCAATAAAATATGAGGTTTAAACTTTACTTACAATAGTGATCAAAGGACCTTTCTTTTTCTGAGCAAGTTTACCGAAAGTATAGGGCATAAAGCCACGATACACATGACCCACGTGGGAGCAGGGCACCCACAAAATGCTGCCTCCACATTGCCAAATTTTAAAAGATAATTCAAAATTCTCTCCACCCCAGACGAGCAATCCTTCATCATATCCACCTAACGATAAGAAATATTCACGATTTATTGCAAATAAACCACCAGCGTGTGTCGGCGACCTACAATACATAACAAATAACACAACCAATTAATAATTGAATATTTAAACAAATTTCAAGTTATGCTAATCATTAATTTACAAAACCAAGTCATACCTATATGGCATGCTGCTATAAGCACGAGTTTTAGCTTCTCGTCTAGGAAGTTCGTTTTCTTTGTACAACATCCCCCACTCAAAAATCCCTCTATATAAATGTCCTTCTTGATAAACTGGACGATACTCAAAAGTTTTATGATCTATCCCATCTATTACTGGTACAGTCATCACAGTACTAAAGTAAAAACATTAAGAACTTTACACATCCTGAAAACAATTAAATACACGTTTCTCTATCCTCGTAACCACAATTTATAATTACCTATCAACAGCAATAGGAGCTAATAGAGGTGGTAACCAATTAAGGTTAACTTCACAATGCGCATCCAAGAAAACAATAACTTCTCCTTTTGCTTCCCGAGCTCCTCGAGACCTAGTCCGTATCAGGCCTTGCCGTTCATGATTTCTTATTAATCGTACTTTTCCACTCCACCTATCAATGTAAGATTCTAATTCTCCTTTTAAATTTTCTGTAACAAGAACAATAAAGCTGGAAATGATTGAGTTTTATTAGTTTCTGTAAACATATGTTACTAACCCTTGTCAGAGAAATCATCAACTAGAAGGATTTCTTCCAAGAATTGTGGAGGTGTACGATTGATAACACTATGTACAGTTCTCATCAATACGGACCAACCTTCATTATGAAATACTATAATGACACTTGTTCGAGGTAAATCTTTTGGATAATCCCAATGTTTACACCTATAACGGTGGAAAATAACTGTTTAGAGTAATATAATTGATTTATACTGTATGTAGGAAAGAAAGGAAAAAGTAAACTCACTCTTCCGGCCTAGTATCCAGAATCGATCTATCCAAGGAAATTTCATCTGAACATACCATGTTCATGCCATATTCAGATTCTGACTGTTGGACATCGTTTTGTTGGTCATCTCTCAAAATGTGTCGTTTTCCACCCTCCCCAGGACCAGTTCTTTCCTTTAGGTCTCTTGGTTCAAAATTACCAAGGCCATCTATAAAGACTGGAACCTATAAACAAATGTGACAATAATTCAGAAACATACATAATACAGAATCGATAAAAATATCATTGAATTTCTCCTCCAATTATAAAAAATGTCATTAACTTGGATAAATACCTGTTTGCTCTTCAAAGACTCTGCCCAATAGCCTTTCAAATTTTTCACGTGATTATCAGAAGCAAAAGAGAACAAAACATATAAGACGGTAAGAAGTAAGCTAGCTCCAACCAGGATGTGCAGTAAGCGGTTTCTTTTTAATTGTACAATTCTCATTTTTGACACCTTGGATAACTGAAAAACCATATATTAGTTAACCTATTTCCAATACTCTCGGTACGGCTTCAAAGATACTATTAAAAATACTTATATTGAGAAAATTAGAAATCTATATTTTTACAGAACTCACACGTTTTGCCAGAAATTACCGTCGAAATGTTGACACTGACAGTTTTAGAGCTATTCTTCCTTTAGAATGAACTGTCAAAATAAGATTCAACGTGTCCCTCTTCAGTGCAGTGGATCGGAATGAATTGGAATGAATTAGAAATGAATTCAAAGCAGAGATGAGTTGGGAGATTGCTTACGGGCAGGATCGTGCGATCCCATTCTGTGCTGCCCTCTGGTTTCGTACGTTAGCTTTTACCGTTTTTTGCTCCCAAGCGGGGGCACTGCGATCGCACGATCCTGCCCGTGAGCAATCTCCCAACTCATCTTTGGCAAAGAATATAGCTGTCTTCTTTGCAGATACTGGCGGTTGTCTTTCCTGGGGTGTCGCCGCCATTTGCACTGCAATGGCGCAAAATTTGAATCCTCGTGAACGATAGAAGGTTTATCCAGAAACTACCGAACTACAACTTAAATGGGAAAAAAAATTGTAATAAAAGCTCACATTGCTAGTTCTAAATCATAATAAATTAAGCATGCATAAGAGAGCACCAGATAATGAGAGCTACCGAATATAATAATAATTGTAAACCTTTTATTTCTCGCAAGATACATTACGTGGCACATGCTAGCCAATCATTAGGATCCATCGAATTTGGCATCGGGTAAAGACCGAAATTAAAAAATATTCACAACACGTTTCCATAAGTGTTTTAATTGATATTACATAAGGCACATACGCGCTCATACAGCAAGGGATAACGGGGAGGAATTATGTATTGACAAATTTGGAAGCCTCGAATCATATAATTCGAGCTGGCAGTTTCTCATCCCAAAACGGTGGAAAGCTTGCAACAAGACAACGTCAAGTTCCGCCGCTTAAAGGGAAAGTTCTCTCTTTTTCTCTTTTCTCTCTTAACCGATCCTTTAATATCTAAACAGCCAACGCCTATTTATATATGTATATATGTATATATAAAATAAAGTACGTTCTACAACCTCGGCGGTAAAACTTCACGAATGGCGGTTCCCTCTCGCGGCGCGGGATGTGTCAAAAGACTCAAAATATCGGATATCTCTTTTCATCGACTATTAGAATCTACTGTACGACTAAAACTTGGAACGTTCGGTACGAGCGAGACGAACTTTATAGAAAAAGCGTCTAAAATGAAAAGACACATCCACAGAACGTTTCAAACTTCAGCCACGTCCACCGATCTTGCCAATACGCGTTCCTACCCTAAGATTGCTCATCTAAATCACCAATGACACGTGGCATAATTTTACAGGCCCTGTACCAACACCAGAAAAGCGCGTTAAGGCAATGCGAAAGAGGCGTCGAAGAGGTCTCGTTTATAAAACTTTTCTCCGAAGTAGGTGTACCGAATCGTTTCAAATTTCACCACGTGAGTACGGGGTCTCTTATAAAGGTCCTGACATCCATGGAATTTCAATTTCTTGAAAATTTGTTTATAGATACTTTTTTTAATTCATTCTATAAAAAGTGAAGTTTTACGAGTGTCATGACATTTGGCCTCCACGTTTATGTGGTACATCGAGTTTGCAGAAAAGTTTAACGAACAACTTTCACATCGCCTTAAGGTATAGGGAAAGAGGCACCTGAGGGGTTTTCTTTATGAAAGCTTTTTCCCAAACTGGGTGCACCGAATTGTTTGAAAATTCACCCCGTGAACATGGACACCCTAAGAAAGGTTCGGACACTCATGAAATATCAATTTTTTTTTCAATATTTCATTATAAACAATTTTTTATTTATTTTTTTAAGTAAAAAGTGGAATTTCATGGGTGTCGAGACCTTCCTCAGAGTCTACATATTCACGTGGTAAAATGTCAAACTATTCGATGCCCTTAGGAATAAAGTATCATAAACGATTCGATTCCTCAAGTGCCACTTTCGCATCGCCTTAATGGGTGCATTACAGTATGCACGAGACGGTGGCAATGGTCCATGGGAGCGTTACCGCGAAAATAAGGACGACTAGGCGACATTATCGGTAACTCTTTCTCTCATCCCCGTGCAAAGTCACTCGAGAATCTTCTCTCAACGCCCTTAATTTCTGTCCACAGGGAGCTGAACGGCGATCCCATGAACCCGCAAAGAACCGCCATAAAGCGACGCCGCATATCAATGGCGACGCGCGAATAAACGATCTACGGTGTACAATGTTAGCCTGCTTTTGGGACATCCCGCCCTTTCGCGCACACGTGAGCTACATTCTCTCTACGGTAAACCTTTATGTACAGAGCCGCGTCTAAAAGAATCATTAATGTGCGTATGTATAGGTGTATATAAATTAACATTATTCGAAGATCGATTAGGGGTTGGCGGCCCTGGAGGAGGGCCAGCGAGGCGGAGAGCCAGAGGACTACGGATAGCCACTTGGCACTGTCACACCTCGACATTACAATGGTACAAAACTAGCCTACCTATGTACAGGACACTCGAGCCATAAGGACTACAAAAGACGGACGCATGTATATCGAAGCACGGCCGTCGTTCGACGACCGCGATCGGTAAAGACATCGCGGATAAAACGTCGCGATAAAATCTGCGCCAGTCCTCGGCGGTCCGGCCCGAGTCTCAAAATAGGTGATGTTCGTCGTAAACGTCAACACTTACGCATCATACGTATGTACAATATAATAGGCTGATGTCGTTGTGTCTCTACGTACATCCGAGCGCGCTATCTCGCCTCTTGGATTTCACTTTTTATCCTAAATCGGTTGTCCTTTCTGGAGTTTTAGGGGGATCGACCTAATGGCGACGGTTTGGAAGACGAGGTAACATCTGCAGGAAGACGGAAGATCATTTTCTGGATTTTTGGGAGCGAAAGTGTTCAAGGTGAAGGTCAATTTATGCTTAAGTGGGATTCATTTCAATGGGGTTTTTGTAGGTGCTGGTGAAGGGAGGATATCTTAACAGATGTGCGTCTATGGTCGGTCCCGCTTGGTCCCGATTTCGGACTTGTGCGTTTACAAGAACGTATCCCTTCATCCGGATTCTAGGTCCAGATTGGAATAGTTGGTTGGCCCCGGGATAGTTGGCGTATGATCGGACCTAGGTCAAGGTTCCGGTGCGGTAGTGAATTCTGATAGAAAATTCTGGTAACACCAAAAGCACGACTTTGTCTAACCCACCATCGTGCTTTTGGTGTTATCTGGTTTGATGTCTGGATCCAGGATCCGAGGACTTAAACTTGGCGCGGTTCCTTGATTTCCAGCAGAGACCGATAGGCGGTAACACCAAAGGTAGGACTATTGTGCCTTCGGCGCTAAAATTTACTACTCTCTATCACGAGTGTACAGAAGACGAAGTGCCATTGCGTCCGGTCAGGATTAAGGTACTGGCGTCCCCGCCCTAGACTAACAATAACGTCTCAATGTACCTGACCTAAGTTGAGGTATCGATGTTAGTTTTGTTTGATCTAGGCTCAAGTTCTGGTGTCCTCGATTTAGGCTTGGAGACCCGTGCTCCAGATCTGGATCCAAGCTCCTGAGCCCTTAATCTTGGCGCGTTTGTTCGACTTCCGGTAGAGAACGATAGACGGTAACACTAAAAGTACGACTTCCGTGCATTCGGCGTTACACTTTCTTGCTCCGTATCACGAATGCAGGGAAGACGAGGTACCATTGCGTCCGACCTAGACTAAGACCCCGGTGCCCCCAACCCAGGCTGAGGTATCGATGCTCTCTCGGCTTGATCTAAGCTCAGGTACTGGTGTTTCGGACCAAAGGCGAGGGTTCTGGTGCCACCGACCTAGGCTAGGAAACCAGCACCCTAGATCTGGGTCCAGGCCCCTAATCTCGGTACCAGCGGTTTCGGCTTAACCTAAGGTAGTGGCGCACCGGACCTAAACTAAATTGCCGACGCAAAGTCCGACCGAGAGAAAAGTATCTAAAAACGCGGAGTACCTCGACATTTATATATCACAGCCCGGCACTGTTCTCGGTTGCCGGTACACGTAGGGTGCGTCTCTCAGCATACGTATCGTTGACTCGACTCGGGGCGCGTCCGGCGACGTTCCGAGGGCCGAAGGCCGAGGGGTCTGGCCCTCGACTTCCTTCCCTACTCGAGAGATATGCGAGAAATGAGAGTTTGAGCGTGTTTAAGAGGAGGACAAGCGCCGGCAGGACTCTCGTCCGGTGTCCCCGGGGATGGGCGAGACCCGAGGGTGGCCGGTCACTCGGTCACCGACGAGTACCGAGACTTTCTCAGGTGCAACTCGCTGGCCGCTAGACTCTCCCCCTTGACGTAGTAATCCGCAGCATCCCTTCTCCTGTTGTTGCAGGTGCCGTTTGCCGTGGTCGAGCTCTCCTTCCCGTTCGCCACGCCGTTCGCCGCCGCGCACTTCTCCCTCAGCCTCGACTGCTTCTGGCTGTAGCTCTGCTGGTAGAACTCGTTGAACAGGAAGAAGAACATCAGCGCGTGCATGCCAATGAACCAGACGAACGCCATGGGGTAGTTGCAGTCGATGAAGAGGAGCTGGAACGCGTGCACCATGATGGCGATGAACTGCAGCATCTGGAAAGCCGTCAGGTACTTCTTCCACCACAGGTAGGGCTGCATGTGGGGCCCCAATGCGGCCAGGAAGTAGTACGTGTACATCACGATGTGGACGAAGGTGTTCAGCAGCCCGAAAAACGTCGAATGGCCGCCTGGAATGGTTAAGTTTTCGTTATTTCTTTGATTTGGACATTTTGAATTTCAAGAAATCAACAGGTAAAAAGGAGAGATTCAACACTGGAGAATTATTTTGGAGAAGGTCGTTTCAGTTGTAACGCTCACTTGGATTTGCGACCAAGGGAAGATTCCAGAGTACCTTTCAGTATAGAAAGACAAATATGAACCGTGCATCGAACCAATGCATTCGACTAAGTACAAACTCCACTTACCAGGTGTAAATTTAACGCCGAACCACACCGACATCGGCATACAACCATGGTGAATTACGTGAAGTGTGGACACGTGGTCGTTCTTCTTTCTCAGCACGAAGAAAATCTGCCAAAGTAGAAGACAGCGATTATTGGCTGAAGAATTTTATCTACTCATTAACGAGTGCAATAGATTTCTACAATAAATGGAGGCTTATCACATAAAATTGTGACAATTCTTATTTAACAACTTACCGTATCCATGAATTCCGTGAATTTGGAGAAATAGTACCACCAGCAGGCGTGGACCATCTGTATATGGCAAAAGTACTATTAGTATCATTCGTCAAACACGCCGCCATTGAAAGTAGTATTACATTGTCAGTGTATTTGCAATTGCATTAAGGCACAAATTACTACGTGTCGGGTTTACAGTTGGTGTTTCCTGTTACAGTGCTGTGTCGTTGGTAAAGGAATCGTGCTAAGATTGGAGGAAGTACTTTTTTTTTTTTTAGAGAACCTTTCAGTCCTAAATCCTAAAAACTCAGATTTCCAAAATTAAGTGAATCGCGCTCGAAAGCTGATTCACTCCAAACTGCTCGAAAAAAGAATTCCTCAATTCCGACATTTTTCTCAGCGTTTCTCACATGAGGCAGTCGATAAAAATTCCATTTTTTAATAAATTATACTGATTCGACCGAAGATGTCAAAGAATGTAGGGCTGAGAGGGTTAAAAAGACTATTACGAGGGTAATCTAGAGTTCAGGAGTGATTCTTGTGCTGTCATAGATGTAAAGTTCTTTGCGAGTTGTTGCGTTGTGCGTGTTAAGATTTTCTTTTTATCTTGCAGCTGGGTAGATGTTAATTGCATAGCCAAAAGACCATTTCACTACGTGTTAGTGTTACGACTTCGTGTTTATCCTGAGAAGGTGTCATTCACGCGTTTTACAGGTGCCGGGTGAAGGTTTAAGGCGAAGGTCGAATCGAATATACTCAAGCGAGGAAAAATCGTCATTGAATCGAGACATTCCTATAAAAAAAAAGAAGAAAAAAAAAACAGTATACATCTTGCATTTTACTTCGAACTATGCAATATGTTGAATATTTCTTCGTTTTCGTCATTCGGGCGGTATTTGACATTGAAATGTTAGGCCTTTCCTTCCGCAGAACTGTCCTTCCAGTGACGAGTTAGCGTAATTACGGAGTCGCGATACTATTTGCCCATTTGCTCTGTTTAGTCAACGTATTGGCAATGTCTCGCATGCCTAGGAAATAACGTACACGAGGCTGATTTGCAAGTCAAGAAAAACCGAACCCGGGAAAATCGGGGGACTTCGAAATTCCGTTAAAAAAAAAATATGCTCGTAAAAAGTAAGAGGAAATAATTAATCCTGAATTTCCTTGCAGAGAAACTTGCTAAATCTCAAAGTTAAAGCCTTTCTACGCACAATCTATTTGTACACTTACGTCGATCACGACCTCGTCTTTATGGGGAATTAAGGAATGCGTGGAGTATGCACTGAGCGAAAAATTTACTTTCTAGGCGAAATTAATTAATTTCAGTAATCCAAGGGTTTCTTGATCAAGAAATTTCTCGGCTCCAGCGAAATTGACTTTGTAGTAATCATCGACGTTGCAAATTTACATCGCGTGAAAATGAATTTGCGAAAAGAAAAAAAATATCACGCACAAAGTTCGTTTCAGGCATTGAACATTTTAATGGAAGTTATATCATTTCTGTGATAAAATGTATTTAACACTCAGCCATTTAATACTTGACATGAAAGATTATTAATGGCGAATAAATGACAGTTTTTGGAGAAAATATCAAATTAACCCCGCAAAATTTAATTTGGCGATAATAACGGGTAAAAACCTCTTTGCTATAAGAATTCTTTTTTTTCTTTTTTTTTTTCCCCTAATAAAAAGTGATATTTGCCGCTCAGCGTCGAATGTGGAGTGTTGCGTATAGCATCATGAGGAAGAGTAGGGATGTTCTGTTGGAATTGTTCTTGGCATTTCACGTGTACCGATTAAGTACAACTCGTTGCGGCCCTAAGGTCCATGCCGTGAAAAAAAATGTCTCTTTCAATTTACAGTGTTCTCTGCAGACTGTTAACGAGTAACGCACCCTTAGTACTTCAGGCCGATCGCTGTAGTCTACCGGTTGACACCTGAGAGAATACTCCCCCGTCAGCCATCCGGACAATCCTATCTGCAACCACAACCGCCCAGAGGCCATTTCCTCGGTTAAAAAAAAAAAAAAGAGAAAGAACTAACCATCACCAGGTCTGATGCGCCCGTTTTCGTCTTCAGCGTTACCATACTCGCACCTACTATCTACACTTAACTGACAAGCAAGACACGTGGGACATGTTCAACCAGCTCAAGAAACAAACGCTGCAAAATGATAACGTCCAAGAATTGAAGACAGCCGATTATCTCACGGAAAACATTCAATACTGAAGAAAAACAAAATAACAAGTAAAAATGACTCGGACTTCCACGACGGTGCAATCGCGATGCACAGTGAACCATGTAATAAGAAACGCAGACACGCCAGTCATGGCTCGGGATTTATTAAGGAAATGTATTGAAATTATTGCAAATCCACTTCATGGAGGGATTGTCATTTGAACATTTATTCTCGAGGAGCTGTGCGACGTGCCTTGCTGGCCGATCTGAAGATTTTTAAGCTTCCACGGGAGCTCCCAGAGCCCGTTGCAGGGATTCGTTGACCACCTAAGATTTAGGGTTGGCCAAGGTTCTAGGAACCTAAGCCTTACAGCAAGATCACATGTGACTTTGGCAGCTGAAAGAATCGTTATCTAATGAAGTAACCGGACGAGCAAGCTACCTTGTTATCACAATGATCATGCGTCTATCGATACGTTTCGCAAACTTTTACTTATTCATTCCATTTCGTAGTTTTCACGGTGCCTGGCGAGTCCTGATCAGAGAATGCCTCATCGTTTTTTTTTACATAAACGGGAATATTGTCACTTCTCTCGTCGGACTGACAATAAAGCGAGCAAGAATTGTACACAGGCAGTGCTCCAATTTCTACCCCGAGACAAAAGATGCGAGCGCTCCATTCATCTTTGGACTTTTCAGACACTCAAAAAAAGTTCCGGTTAATGCTACCAGATATGCCTGGTTAAAAGGCCTCTAATCATCATTAATGAGAAAGTCTGAGTAATATGACTAAAAGATTCTGGTTACTGAAGTCTGATTGTGATTACCTCAATACTACTAGATAAATTTCGGGTAGAGAGTTCTTACATCTACCCTGAAAATCTCTGAATTTAGCAGAAAAATAATCAATGCGACCAGATAATATCCTAAAAACATCCGATAATTTTAGTTAGAAAAAAATAGTAAGGGCACATTTAACAACCCAGTCCAGTTAAAACAACCCGATTCTTGGTTTTCTAAATTGTGCCTTTCCTTGAGTGCAAGGAGTCCTTAAATTGCAAGCGGTAATTTCTCAACATGGCTCCGTGACGTCTTTTAACAGATGCCGATGACATTCTTGAAGCTCCTTTAAACTTTTCCAAGTCTCCTTGCCAGGCACAGTGGAAACCCACGCACTCTGGTCCACAGACGCATCATTTATCTCTTCAATCCCGAGTCCCTCTCGTGCTGGTTGCAGCCCTGGAAATTGTTAGTGCAGTAGAGAAATGCTAGGTACACTAAAAGAGGAGGAGAGCAACGTGGCCGGAATATTACGGAAGCGGAAAAATAAGCACGCTTAACGATCCACGATCCGAGATGTCATATTCGGAGAAGCGCCGCAAAGTGATGGAAATCGGTCGTGATCTCTCGGTCGGAGTTCGTCAAGTGATCCCGAGGTCCAACGTCGGTGTCTTCTTTCATGAAACTGCCAAATAACCGGGACTACTTACCCTGATGGCCGTCGGGCTGTTCGAATAGTCCACCGGTTGACAGCGAAAATTATACTGCCTCCACCAGCCGCCCATCAGGCACTGCGTTCGCAAAATAAAGATTATCCGTCCTCCGACACATTTTTCTCGCGACCCAGGACCAAAGGATCGAACTCATTCAGCACGTCTCTGCCAGCCATTACGTGTCCTGGACACGTGACAACGATTTTCCGCAGATTGCTCGCTGGACGACGAAATGATCGCCGGGGAAGAATTACCGACTAATAGGGCAGAGATCGAAGTGGTTGAGTTTAATCAGTCTGGTTCTGGGTGCAGCGATTTCGAGGGGACTCCTGGAAATTACTGGGGACGTGGGCTTGTCAATCTTCAGGTATTCCTTGTTAAGGTCGACGAAACGGAGGCAACATCAACGCCTGGTACGCTTTTCTTTATCTAATGCTTCCAATGTTTCCGTCGCACAGACCAACGTGCAAGAGCAAGCTCCGGGGATTACATACCTCGTAGAAGAGCCACGTCGAGAAGATCACCTGGAAGAGGTTGTACACTATCAGGACGTTCTTCAGCTGGAAGGGCTTCCGGTTCTCCATCAGCTTCGGCCCGAGGACTTTGACTATGTAGACGTAGCTCAGACATGCGAACAACGTCGGGAAAGGCGACTTCATGAGGAACCAATTGGTCGTCCGCGCATCTAAAAAAGACCTTCATGTAATCGCGGTGTCGCTTTATAATTAATCCTGAAGAGGAGAGAAAAAAAGAGAAAAATTATTAAAAAATCCCAACCGCAGTTTTACGCAGTTTTTATGAACGCCATTTGTAATGATAGTGCCCCGTCACCGGAGGATCTTAAATGCAAGTTAACGAGGCCTTTACGCCGCAAGAGATGAACTTCACATTTCACTTGAGTGGTCCGTAAAGTCATGAAAGCGAAAAGTCACGACAGAGGTTGCAAGAAGCAGCTCCGGCTCCAAGTACCACGGCGGCAGCCAACAAATACCGTGGTAAGATTACTTGAATGCCCTGGGCATTTTTGCATCCCGCAAACTGCGTATTAACATATAAATGTTAACATACAGTGCAGCAGGCTTTACTGGCTCCCAGCAGTTTGCGCTTTTTTCCGATCACCGTCCGACCGGCGGAGGTGACGGCGCTACGTCAATGGTGGCTTTAATGATAATTCTTAGCGATTGCAGGCAATGTTTACGATATCGGTTGCGTATGCAGTATTGCAGCGTGTAAAACTCCCCTGTTAAGTCATCGTCTCGCTGACGTCCGACCGTCTCCTCGGCGTGCATGAATTAAAGTCTCCGGAGCGAGGTGTCATGGCGCGCATGGGCCGCTACGCATGGATTTATGAAGAAACGGATGGAGCATAAAAGCTGAGATTTCTGACGAGGGAACTGAAGCTCGAGACGTAAGGAAACGTAGTATTGGCGATCCTTCGATGCAACGCACACATACGTGATTTTGTATCCGCAAACGACGACGGCCAAAGAAAGATGGCCGCCACCCGTTTCTTCCTTTACACCTTCGGTTTCCCTCAACGTTGACACCCGACATCCCTTTCTTCATAAATGAAAATCGCGTCGCAAAGTCAAGCGATCATGCCAAGCAACAGGTGCTTCGATATTAAAAGGATATTAAAAGGATATCCAAAGGAGAAAAAGAAAGAAATCCGCGCGACCTCTCGCCGCCCGACGCGCACTTTCCGCCGCGCAGATGATGCGTCGGCCATATTGGTCCTTTTCCTCTCAACGCTTTTTCAAAGTCAATCTTTTCCTTCCTCCTACGGAGGCTCTCGTTCTTCCCCCCTTAGTGTCGTGGCAAAATCGATGACTCGCGGAATAAATTCGGCCGGGATCTCAAGACGAAGTTGACCTTAAAACTATGCCTCGAGATTAAACCCGACCGACGCGGCGGCCATGTTGGATTCTTTCAAATGGCCGCTGCTTCGCGCGCAGTAGGTATTTCGAACAAGTCGTGGGTTTCGCGATTATAAAGCTACTTTCAAACTCGTTATGCAAACTGTCGATCGCCTCTCCTAATCGAACCTTCGGATCTCCGCGTGACGGAACCCCTTTTTACACGGCCGTGTCCATGCATTTCTCATCGGCCATTTTTCAGCGCGGCGCGGAATTCGTCCTTCTTCGTTCATGAGGATTGCGCGATTATCACGACTTGGGGGACACATTTTTGCCGGTAGTCCCACTATAAATATGTCTACTAAATGAGTCTCGGGACTAATTCTGACTAATTCTCGCCCCCGGCCCCGGGAAATCGATTCGATGTGTCGCTAAACCAAGCAAGGACGCTCTCTCGGTGACCCCAACATAGATACACAGACCGTCCATCTTGGTTTCGCAAGTCGCCGACAAAAATCCTTATCGGGCCTTGCAAAATCGAAGGTAACTCGCAACATTGGCCGAAGGAACGTCGTACGACCTAACAGTGACACGTTTCTTTGCAGAATGCCGTCTAAATAATCCTAGAACAACCTGAGGCAACGTCTAGCTCAACGATCCACATCAACCGATAATTAAAGTTCGTCATCCGGAGGATTATTCGTTATTCAATGCTCCAAAAGAAGTAATGTTATAACTATACTTAGCCTTGCTGCTGTGATTACTATCGCAATTATAGGATATTTTTCTTGCACTTTTTCATACCCACGGCCGATAATGAAAGGGCTCACTTTTTTTTTACCTCGGACAAGGGGCAAAAAAAAGTTTTTTTTTTTTTTCGGAAAATTAAATTCACGGGCAGCGCGTTCTTCCTCAGAGCCTCCATAATCGCGTGTTAAAGTTTCCGATAATTCGGTGCACCCAGTTTGGAGAAAAGTTTTATCAATATTTGAACTTTTTCATGTACGCATGTATCGCACTTTCATATCACCTTAAAGCCGCGCACGCGCAAGAAACCGGACATTACTTCGATTTTGACACGCTCACGAGGATCGACATTCGTCGAGTCGACGGATAGTTATTTATTACGCAATAGGAAGCACTGATTGCACGTTGCTATTTCGACGGTGACGTAATTGCGAGCTAAAAGGCGGTCTATCGCGTGCAAAAAAGGCGTATCGCGGGAGCGCCAAGATTCAGCAGTTCCGAGTAAACTCGCCGTTTGCGAGCAGGTACGGGGATTTAATTTAACACAGGTGCAGCGGAGGAGCGAGTCTTGCTCCTTGAAAAAAACAATCCACCGGCGCGAGAGGAAAGGACCGACCTTTTCGCGATCCAAAAGTGACGTGAGTGACGCACAGCTCTGTTAAAAATACATTGCCCACCGAGACCTGTATTCCACAGGGATTCATTACGAATGCAGTGTACGAGGCACAACAAGAATATGAAATTGTTGACTCCGTGACTGTTAAATACCCCCGGGTTCGAGAAACGTCGATTCTACGTATGCACGCATCTCATTTTGGGCTCTCCGGATCGAGACCGACAGGGTGTAGGTGCATTCTCTTTTTTTTTTCTTTCTTCCCACACCTTTCAGAAAACTCGTTTGAATTCTTGCCTCCAAAGAGATGATAAAAATTTCACGACAGTAATTTAGCGAGGGGTATAACTCTTTTTTCTAGAAGAAAAAATAATCATTTGCGAAGTGATTTAATGGCCAGGGTCCCCGGATCGAGACCGACGAGGTGCACGTGCATTCTATTTTTTTTTTTTTTTCTAATAAAAACTTCATTCCTACAGGAGACAATAATTTTTCAGTAGTGATTTCAATGATTACGTCTTCTTAGAAAGAAAGAAAGAAAATAATCCACGAAGCGAGGTATACTTGTACAAGAACCACGAATCGAGACCACCCGGGCGCAGCAGAAATTCTTCTTTATCTACGCTTCGGAGCAACTATTTAAATATAAAGACTCGTATCTGAAAGGGAAAATAAGAATCTTGCGGCAGTTACCGCAAAGATTGCATGTTTCCCTCTTAGGGAAGAAAGAATTCATAAAGACGCATGCCTGACCTTTCGCATCGCTTTAACTCCTTCTTTCGGAGACGAGGAACGGAAGAACGGAGAATTCCTGGTTTACGACTCCAGGACGAGGCAAAGCTGAGAAAAGTGAGGCAAAATCGCGGATTCGCATTCCTCCTGGGCATAAGGACTAGCTTTTAGAGGCCGTCCGGAAGTCGTACCGAGGACGACTTGGCCGCTACACTTACCCGCGTTTTTATCGAGGATCTCGTGGAACCGGTCCACGTACTGCATTATGATGGACATGGTGCTGAGGATATTCTTTCAAGGCTCCAGAGTCCAATGTTCGACGTTTTCCCTCGCTCCTCCGATGACTCTTTGTCTGCAGCAGAGGAAGATAAAAAAAAATGAACGAGTTATTTTGCGTCCACCTTCAGGAATTTTACGCGTTCCCTCCCAGAAACGAGCGCGTTGCTTACCCCGAGAAAGGTAGGCAAGGTTAAAAATAATTCACGTTCATCCCATTTACTCCTGTGCAACAAAGAGAAACGATTCGGAGTATACACTTTGTAGAAAAAAAAAAAAAGAAAAAGAAACACCTGCTGTTATCAGGGCGTTGGGATTTTCAGCGGGGTAGAGTTCGGGCGAAAGAGAAATTCAAGGTGGTCTGTCGGTGTAAACTCATAGGTTTTTCGTGTTTACGGCCGCGAGGAGCGATTACTGGACAATCTGACGTGACATAGCGCAACAATGTCGCGTTACCGCTCCTACGCTGTGCCTTGCTACATACGTGATCGAGGACGTATTACTTAACGCGTAGGTTCGCCGATGCGCCTCGCCTAGAGCCCGCGATATGTCCTACGACATGCCAAGACCATGTCGCCAGAATCGCTCGATCGAGGAAACCTGCCCCCCCGCCTCGCCGGAAATGGGGAAATATCTACCACAATAAATGATAACGAATTTACGACATAACCTAGCCATCGCGACGTCCCCAGAAGAACGGCTCGCCCTCACTAATCTCCAGAAATCACCTTCCTCCCTTGCACTGAGAAAAGGAAATTCATTTAACCAAAGAAATATTTTCTCCATCCAAACAATGATTACCTGACTCAAATAAATTGCCGTAATTCCGATGAAATGTTGCGATCGATTTATTCGAGTTCAATCGAGTCCAAATAATTATTTCTCTAGTTTAATGAATTTCCTTTTTATTTCTCGGTGTAAGAAAATCCCCAGCTAATACACTGGAGAACAATCTGCGACAAGGAGGTAATATTGAAAATGAAAAATTGGAATTTCGCGATAAAGAACGAATTCTAATAAGGCTTTGAGGATCCTTCAGAGCTGCCTCTACCTAACGTCTTTGCCTAACGATTCTCTGAAGAGGTGCGTTTCCAGGTTCTTCAGGGTCTGCAGAAGAAAATCCCAGGGCGAGTCGAATGACGTACCGCGAGGAAAGCGTTGTTACTTCTGGATACGTGTGTCATGCAAGAAGTGCAATAAAATCCAGCCGTAATGGCGATACGGGGCAGCGACTGCCATTGAGCAAAGAGTGGGTGCGTAAGCGTGTACATAGAGCGACGAAAACGTTTCCTGTATCAGTCTGCAGCGGGGTAAAAGCGTTCTCCGTAATTGTCCGGCGCAGTCAAATGTTGTTCTTGCCGTGGGAATAATGACTTTTCTTACAGGCGTGCATGTGGCCGTCCATGAATCGGTTAAAAAGTCGAGGGGGGGACAAAAAGCCGACGTTTTCCCCCGCCCCTGGAAATACGAGAGCGAAGGCCAAGGATCGTTGGATCTAAATTGGTGGCTTCGAGTCCTCCTCGACTAAAGGTGTGCAAAAGGTGCCTAATGTCCTCCTAATTAAAGAAGGTCCGTAAGAACAATGCCGGCCACCCGAGCTCGTTCTTCGACGGTCGTTCACCACCCTGAGAAATTCTTTCTCTGAATGAAAGAAAATGATTTCCTTGAATCATTGGTCATTCGAATCAAATGGTTTCGGCAGAAGGAACATGTTACTTTCTTGGGTAATTTGGGGGGTGTCACCGCAACGGGGATTTTTGGACAGCTCATGTTAATTGTTGTCTTCTTCCAATTCACTAGTCATTAGGAATGGCATCTTCTGGGCAGCTCGGATTAAATTTTGCCATCCTCCACTCTACTCGTCCCAGAACTCCGGCAGGCAACTTCTTCCCTTCTACGTAGTCGTCGTCGACAATGGAGACTTCTCGCCGAAGACTCTTCTTGCCGGTTTGGTAAGAGCCGGTGGATTTCGCTTTCAATGCAACTCGGAGCAAGCCTTCGTCAAGGCCAATCGACTACAATTCAATAGGTGTCATCATCGTCCGTACAGTGGCACTCTCAGGCGTCCGTCCACGCGTTACGCTCGGTACACGTCGGCCCCGCGTTGTGTAACCGTGAACCGAGTCAAATTGGAGTAATTCGATTCAGCGCCGTCTGCCCGAAAAAGAAAAAAGGAAAGAAAAGGAAGAAATGTCCCCGGGAGGGTTTGGCAACCCGTTAGACCCGAAACGCCTCGGATTAGGTAATGCCGATCGATTCGGCGTTGTTGCACTCGAATGGACTCTACATGACAATTGGCCTACTGACCCACTGTCGAGGTCTTCCGAATGGACAATCTAGTCATCGAAACCACTAAATATAAAAAAAAAATATACATTTCGGAGATATAATGCCTATGGTCGGTTTTACAAAAAGAATCGCGACCCGGGGATTTCCTATTTTGGCTGATCAAACGACGCGAGTACTACTTACGGAAGATGTCGGTATTACGATACAACGTGGACAAAGGATTTCTTATCGATGGAAATAAATCCTGCGCTTTCAATTTTTGCAATTCAGGCACGCAACGTTCAATGATAATCCGTGCATAATTATACGGAATGGGATGTTTTTTAATGGGATAAAGTCTAGGAGACACATTAGCGTATGATCGATAAACAATGAATGGCTATTTAATAAATGTTTGCGAGTAACACGTCTTCGTCCTGTTTGCCATTAATGAATAGATTTTTTTTTTTATGTTTTTAGAGCTTTTGCAGTCCTTAACGAGGGTTCGGCTGATCAATACAAAGTACCTCTACTTAGCAAGGATCTGATGAATAGATGAACAGATGCAGACGCCCGGGTGTTAATTATGCGAAATAATAAACACGTTCGGCAGTGCCTCTTCGAATATCTCAAACAGACTTGGGGATAAATGGACACTTGTTACCACAACACGTTCCCAGGAAACGTTTGATCCTGGCAGGAAGTACTCCCAGCATCAGGGTTTGGAAAAATCGTCAAAACGAGTATCGACCAACTGTACTCGCTTAATAAAGAATATGTTCCACGGTAATTGTAGGAAGTGTCGGCAAGCAGAGTCAACTAACTAATTCAGAACCGTCTCGGCGTGGTTTATTTAATTTGCAATGAGATGCGGCCTGGAATGTCGGCCGACTTCTGGATGGATGCACAGATAGGCCTCAATACTGCAGCCCGTTGATCTCGGATTGATCTTATAAATCGCTGATTGATAAGGAACGACGCTCCTCGATTAGCTGAGAACCTAACCCAACTACGAAGGCTCGAGAGACAGACGTCGATAAATCAGATTTTCAGCGGCTCCTCGAAGCAATCAATCAAAATCAAAAGAGATCTAAACAAGCGTCAATTTATATTCAACACCAAGTTAATTAAGAAAATTCTCAAGAGACAGTTTTTATCAGGCTTACTTATCGCTACCGCTTTGTCGCCCTGATATGAGAATTTAAAAGGCCTGATCCTCATCTGCACTTTACAATTTTGAGTATGAATTTTATCTTTTTAACGATTCCTTTTACGGGCAATGCACCGAGAGAAAAAAAAATGTCCTTGAACCAGAGTAATATTAATTAGGCTCAAATGAACTCGAATAAATCGGATACAACATTTCTTCGGAATTGCGACAATTACATTCAGTTTATTAGAGTCAAATGATTATTCTCCGAGTTAAGAAAATATTTCGTTGGTACCATTCAAAATATTTCTTTGTTTCAACGACACTTCATTTTTTTCGGTTTATGACCTAAGTAGGTGATTATTACCGATTCCTCGGCGAGTTTTCGAAATCCAAGGAATTCCGAGTATCCTCGAAAAGGGGAACAAATAGACGGAGAATCCTCGCCCCTTTCTTTCTCCGATTCATCGAAATTTCTAAGGCCGCGCCACCTCGCCGCGCGTCTCCGTCATCATTGTCATCGGGTGGCGGTCATTGCAAAACGATCGGTGCTCGAACTGTCCAAAACGCGCGGAGCAAGCAAATACTTGAGAATTGCGAAAACCGTATACATTACCCGGGGCAGAAAATGGGCCAGTCTCGGCCAAAGTTACGCAAGTCCCCGGTAAGGAGCGCGTAGGAGTGCGACCGCGGAAAGGAGTCACCTCGAGGAGTCCGGAAAAATAATAAGTAGAGGAGGGGGAGAGATAAAAAGAACATTGAAAAACATATGGCAAAGTCATCGAAGCATTCAAACAAAATGACCAGAGACAAGGATGTCAACTAATCACGAACGGCGGCCGAAGAAAAAACGAGATAAGTCATGTCTCGTATCCGCCTCGAAGCCGCGAAGAAAAATCGACGAAGATTAATGCAAAATCTGAAGTGATCATTTTCCTCGATTATGTATAATGTCGAGGAAACCGGGAATAGGAATCGCCGAGGATTAACGAAATTCCCAAGAGATGACTTTTGTTAAGCGTTTGTAAAATCGAAAGAGCGTCGAGAAGGAACCGAGGAAGATGTCGAAAAAGTCGCAAAGAAATACGCAGGGAGTGTCGGTTTGGGTATTTGGTTGTGAAAGCACCTTAACTCGCGTGCCACGCGGGTCTCCAGAAGCAGAAAGAGAGAGAGAGAGAGATGAAGAATAGAAGGGGAAGTGCAAGAGGGAGAGAGATACGCATATGCAGGCGTTGGTGCCCGCGAGAGAGGCCGTGATAAGGGAAAAGGCGAAACCGCGGAGAGAAGGAGAGGTCGAGATGGAAGGAAAGAGAAAGGGGAGAGAGTCCGAGATGGAGAAAGAAGTGGTGGGAAGGCGACTGGCGAGCTGAAATGTGGCTCACGCTCGATCGGCTCGAATACGCCGGTCGAAAGTGCGAGTGTAATGTAACCATTACGTCGCAACGCGTACGTACGGCATTTAAGTAGTATCCCCGGTTGGTCGATTAAGCGTCGCACACCGGCGGAAAAGCGAAGAAAAAGTCGGCCTCCGGTTTTCCTTTTCCCTTTTCCTACCGCCAGGCTGAATGAAAATGGGTCGCCAAGAGTCGGCCAGGTGAGACATGAACGAGCCCACTTCTGTATTTACTTTGTTTCTTTTCAGAGTGATAAGCCCGACC